GATAACAGGAGATCCAAAGAGGTATTCACTGAAATTTTCAAATTCAAAATTTTCAAGAAAGTATTAGGATAACAGGAGATCCAAAGAGGTATTCATTGAAATTTTAAAATTCAAAATTTTCGAAAAAGTATCAGGAGAACAGGAGATCCAAGGAGGTATTCACTGAAATTTTCAAATTCAAAATTTTCGAGAAAGTATCAGGAGAACAGGAGATCCGAGGAGGTATTCATTGAAATTTTAAAATTCAAAATTCTCGAAAAAGTATCAGGATAACAGGAGATCCGAGGAGGTATTCATTGAAATTTTCAAATGCAAAATTTTCGAAAAAGTATCAGGAGAACAGGAGATCAAAAAATTTAAGTGACTCCGTAAAATTTTTAAATTTCAGTGAATACCAATTTTGTAACGCAGAAAATAATATTCACCCCATCGACTAGTTCCTCTGACAGCGAGACTGCTACTGAGGCAATTACCGAATCGGCTGACGGGTAGACACCCCCATTGCGTGTGGCGCCCTCCCTCTCTTGGGGTGCAGTATCACGATGCCGCTGGCGTCACTCAAACTCCCACAACAGAGCCTCTACTTTAGTCAATCCATCACCAGGTGTTCACATCGTTGTAATCCAATAATTATTAGATGTTAAACTAAACAATCAAGATAAATCAGTGGATCCATTTTCATCGAAGAATATTCGATTTGTTTTCTTCGGAGATGGCTGACGAGGCAGAACAGGTCATCATCTGCGCCAGAATCCATTTGGAGCAATTAAACAGAATATAACCTGAAATAATGTTTGTAATCATTAGGTGCCGGCAATTAATGTGAAAGAACCGCTGGACCTGATAAGACTGAGCCTCGACGAGAGGATTTACGTGAAGATGAGAAACGAGAGGGAACTTCGTGGTCGGTTACACGTAAATATCATTTTTTTCATTCTCAGGGTAAAAATTAAAGATTAAACAGAAAATGACCTAAAAATGGATTCATACCTGCAGGCATACGATCAGCACCTGAATATGGTATTAGGAGAGGCCGAGGAGACAGTGACAACCGTCGAAATTGACGAGGAAACCTACGAAGAGGTTTATCGTACCACAAAACGAAGTATTCCAATGCTGTTCGTCCGTGGGGATGGGGTAATCCTCGTCTCACCCCCCAGCATGAGGGGACAAATATAATACCACTAATCCATAATCAATTTCAAATGAAAGTTATCGATAATAAATTCATTTTACTAATTATGATAATTTGTTCAGCCTCGTTAATTGCGCAGACAGATCTGCAATCCTCTGATCCTTGAGCTTGATGAGACTCTCCAGGTGGAATATCTTTTCCCCGAGCATCGCCACCATGTCGTTCTTCTCCTGGAGCTCCTGCTTCAACTTGAGAAACGCTGGACGTGGAATTTTCTTGTTCTGAACCTCGTCGAGATCCAGAACCGAGTCGACCTCGCTGTTGGATATCCCCAGGTCACTGGCTGTGTAAAGGGATCTCCTCTCGTCGTTGCAGTCCTTCAGTATTCGCGATCGCAATTTAATGAGCACTGAATCGATGGCTTTACTCTGGGCTGAGGCGATTTGATAAATCACGTCATCTGACAGCTTCATGTCGATTTTTGTCAGGACTTTTCTGTTCAACGTTCGCCAATTGTCGAGTTTCTTCGAGATACTACTGCTGGGGGAATAATTGTGAAGGTCCACGTGCCTCGGGTAGTACTGCTTCAATAATTCAGCCATAAATACTAATAAAAAAA